GGGGGACCACGGCATTAGGTTATCCCAATACCTTAGAAACACAATATCTCAACAGCAAGAGGGCAATGGCACGAATCCTTTTGGGGTTTTCATCTACTATATGAGCTCTACATATGGGCAGAATATGAGGTGAAACGGAGAGTATTACTTAGTGAGGTTTCATCGTTAGTGAAAAGAACATGAGTATAATGAAACGGCGACTTTGTATATAAATGATGTTATGATTCCAAAATAAACAGTAAAGAAAAAGTTGAAGATCTGATCAGATTTACGATACAATATTAATAAAAAATACAAAAGTAATAGAATAAGTTTTGTTTTCGATTTTTACATATAATATATGTCAAACATTTTAATTGGAGACGGATGACATGTTTTATTAAAGAGTCTCGTTCAGATTCTAAAGAAAGATAAGTACAATCGTGTAAGAATAACGCAGCAAAATTAGACTAAATTAATCACACAGCACAACATTATTCCGATTTAAAAGAATTCCAAAGATATTGTATAGAAAACAGTTTAAAACAAGGCTTTGTTAAAGGAAATTTCATAACCCATTTACAATCAATAAAATAAGTGAGAATTACAGTCGTACATACTTGATAATAAAAGCTGTTAGCGCAATCCCTAGCGAGATTAAAATGTGAAACACGATCTAACGGTTGTTTCTACCTTCAAGAAGATAGTTTATTGTATTTTTATGAAGCGGATTTTGCCTCATTCTGTGGCATAAAGGTATAGAAATATAGGAAATAAATACTTTATATATGATGAACTCGCTTTATTGGCGTTTTAACAGTTGTGTTAGTGTGGATATCGTAATTTTTGCTTGTTTATGTTTACGCCCACACCCTATATAAGGGCTTATGATACCTTGTCGATCAGGGCTGTAACCAGGTGAAAAGAACACTTGTCGGTCACGTCTGTGACGAGGTCAAAAGAACATATGTCGGTCACGTCGGTGATGGTTTACAATGCTGGATCGGTAATGTCAGTGATGGTCTATAAGTTCATGTGGGTCACGTCTATGACGCTCTATCAGTCACGTTTATGATGTTTTGGCATGCTCTGTCGGTCACGTTTATGATAACATGTCGGTCGCCGCCTTTGATGTTCGGTCGGTCACGTCTGTGATATTTTGTCGGTCAGGTCAGCGGGGAGGGGGCGGGGGCGGGGGAGAGCGGGTGCAAATTTTTATCCTTTAACACTCCTTTTAGATCGTATTTCACAAAAAATTAGAATTGTACTGCTAATATTAAATAAATCATCCATTTTCGAATAAGATAAAACAGTAGATTCCGAACATTCGTCACCTGTGTATTGAATATAATCAACAGACTCTCTTTTAATAATACTAATAGGCGTGTTCCACGAGAAAGTTTATATGGACTATCTTCTCTATTCGAATTTTTTTTCCATTCTTGGAGCCAGACAGTTCTCAAGATTAGTCATGAGTTTCTTTCCATTGACAAGCGCTTCAATGCTTGCATGAGTTATGTACAGATAAAAAGAATTTCATGCACCGGATGCATGAGAATCATATGAGCTAGATATCTGAGGACAAGCAAATCAGACTTAAGCAACTGTACGTTTTATACTATTTAGGATAAGTGATGTTAAAAAATCTTGTCGATTCGTTCTCAAGACTAAACGTTTACTTTTAATTATAATTATGCAATCTAAATGATTTTGGATACATACTGAAAGACATTTGAAAAAAAATATGATTAAAATACAACGAAAATCTTTTCAACGTATTTCAAATGTTATTTTCATCATTTTGAATGACGGTGTGCGATGAATCATTGACGTTGCTATCTTGTAATCGAGGTAAACTGTTATCGATATTTTGTGTATTCCAAAAATTTTGCCATATCATGTTTCTTTTATAATCATGTTTTAACTGTCGAACAGATTCTTTAACACTTTGTCAACTGTCAAGTAATAATTCACTATTTTTCTGTAGTCGTTGGTTACGTTTTTTCATCGCCTCTATAAAATAAAAGTTATATTAAATATCACTCATAAAATTTGTGACACTTACGTTGAATATTTAAAACTATCTGCTCGTTTTCTAACACTTTATTCAGATCTGAAGCATATCCTGCTTGACGAAATATCTGTCGTACAAATCTGGTAAATTCATCGAATACAAAGTTAAACTTGCTTATATCAACACCGAGAACAAACTAAAAATAGAATAGAATAAAGATTGCCGATTAACTTAAAGTTTCTTACTTCTGGATCGGATTTTGGTGGTGATTGAATCGACGAGTTATTTAAATTAATTAAATTGTTTCTCTAAACAAAAATTAGAACGATTGTTAATCATTAAAAGATCATTTCAACTTACTTCTTCAAGAATATCTCGTCTTTTAAATATTTCAAATGTTTTTTCAAGTACTTGAAGTCGCTTATTCATGCTGTGTCGTTATAACGAGGTCGCCTTTTCTTGACTGGCAATTTGAATAACAGCATCTCCTGTTAATTTTGTTGGTATAGATCGAGACTACAACAAAAAATATATATCCAAAAAACATTTTACAAGTTTGAAGTTCATACCGTTCGTTTTCTTTTTCTCTGGACCACTTTAGCTGTTGTTTCGGGTACATCTTCATCCTCAATACCAGGTTCAGATATATCACTATCATGTCCATTGACATTGAGTAGAACATCTAAAATATAAGTTCATTGCTTAATAAATAAATAAAACTCAAATAGGTACCGGTAGAACTTTGAACTTTCTCATTGTTATTTAATGTTTCGTCAACAGTTAATAGTAGAGCTGACAAATTTTCTAAATGAAGATAGAAAGAAAGAATGTTAATCTAGTTATTATATGATAGTAGTTATGGAGACGATTATAGTGAACTATACTTGATACTCTATGTTATTAAGAAAATCTTTACCTTGCATAACATTTTATATCTAATAACATTCAAGTGCATGACACGTGCTTGAGGATGAGACAAGCACATAAATCAAGAATTGTAGGTAAATAAATTAGAAAGTCAAGTATTTGAGTAAATTAACGTCGCAAAGACCTGCCTCAATGTGTGTCATGATTGCATGACATTCCTACTCCATAAGCTCATGTTTTTCATGCGCATGCCACAAGAAGTTCGACTAGGGTTGATAACGGCTGAATATATCGAGTTAGCTTCTGGTTATTTAGAATTTCTCAACCTGCTGATTCTTTTTGTCCCTAGAAAGTTTTCTACAAACAGCTTCTAACTATGGTTTCCAGAAAACCATGATTTTCAGCAGAACCCAAGGGGAAAAAAGCGGATCCCGGTGGATCTTCATGGATCCTCATAAATGTTAGGATCCATAGGATCCATAGGATCCATAGGATCCATAGGATCCATGAGGATCCAAGAGGATTCATAAGGATCCGCTATATAGATTATTCTTCTATGTAACAAAAGGCTATTAGAATGTTAATTCGTCTATATTTCACATATATTATCTTATTTGAATACTATAGAAGGACTTTACGACTATCCTGAATATAGACAACAAAGGAATGGAAGTATTTACTTACGTTCTATTACCTCGTGATTATATATGAATTGTATCAGTTTTTAAAGATTTGCGAATTTTTTAGTAATCAAACGACATCATCGAAAAGAATGTCATGATTTAGCGTTTCTACTAATGATTTGTTCTTTATATTAATTAGTTTCTATTCTTTATGTAAGAAGCTTTAGTGATATTAGCAATATATTGTCACTCATTTACCGAAACGTTTTGAAAAATGTATAGTGAACTTCATTTTATAGTCTTTATTCAAATATAGTGTCTAACGATATAAATGAATGAACATCAATACATCAGTTTTGGTTTTTTGTTTGTTAAACTCGTATTTGTCTGTGAGACGACAAAGAGTTTTTATGAATGGTCTGCACTTTTACAGCAGTCTGTTTATAGATATACTTTTCTTTGCTATTGATATAAGTTTGGAGATAATAGCATGTTTTTGCTGGATTAACTGCATGAAAGATCTTCATCCCTTGAAATGTTTGTTTGGACACTTTTAAATGATGAGGATTCTGACCATCAGCATCTGAAGAATCCTCATCAGATACAGAATCAATTTCAGAATAATCAATAACAATATTATTATTACTTAGGACATACCGAAAGTAGTGGTGCTGGCCTTATAAAACCTCATAGAAAGCTCGAGAAACTTTTTCTTTCTATTTACGCTGATAGCCCAAGTGCTACTTTGTGAATCTACCCTATTTCATCATTGTTCTGTTGATATCGTAATATTAAGAATACATCAGAAGCAGTGACGACTCGAAGAAAAAAATAATTTCACTAGATGTCTCCAATGATTGTAGCCTGTTGTGGCTTTCGTGCTTGATAAAATCTTGATTTTCATCTGAAAAGATGCGCCGTGAAAAGTTATATAAAAGCTATATAGACAAATCTCGATTGATTTGTTCTGATGATTATCACCAAACTTAAAATGGAAAGGTTCTGTCACTGTCCTTACTGCGCAACAGGGTTCCGAATGATAAGTGTACACAGCAGACGAAAAACGGGTGAAACACTTGCGACTTTTGAAATACACGCTGTTTTACACGTTGCTGGTGAAAACAAAATGTACATGTTACACTCTGCAAACAAAATTAACACTTTGTTTTTTTTCAAGCCATAAATTGATTTCTTTTCTGATTAAATTTAAATGGGTATTGATACTGATATTGACGAGTAATAAAAGAAATATTTCTATTCATGTCAGATTACATAATTGTGTGTGTACTAATTGTGTTTTTAGTGTTATTCAGTATGCATTTGTTTTACATTCTTCATTAGCAAAAAATATGAACACTTTCTATATTTCAAGATTATAATTAAATTCAATTTATACACTTTGGTACACTCTGCTTTCAAAAGCATAGTGTACAAAAACATTTTGTTAGGTTAAACAAAATGTACAGAAACATTTTTCTTCTAAATTCTATTCGGAACCCTGCTGCACAATGTAATGAATTCAACAAAAATATTGGAAGACGTTTTTGCTTTGCATATATATCTCGGCTTGACAAAACAAACGCATTTCAATTCTTTTTTTAAAGATCCGCTGTCGAAAGAACTACAAAATCTGTATAAACAAATTCCTAGCACACTATACAAAACCTTCTAAACATTTTTATTGAGCTTAATAAGGTGGAAAATAATTCTCTCTATCGCGTAGACTGTTTATTTAAAGTATAGAATAAATCGCTAGAACAAGTCAGTAGAGATTTGTTAATACAGTTTTTGTAGAGCTTTTTATAGTGCATCTTTTGAGACGGAGATCAAGATTTTATCATATTCTTAAATCAAGGTATCCATGAAATAAAAAATGTTGCAAATATTTTGAGACACCTCGCGAAATTATTTTTTTCTTCGACTCGTCCCTACTTCTGATGTGTTCTCAATATTATGATATCAACAGAACAATGATGAAATAGGGTAGATTTATAGAGCAGGACTTGGGCTATCAGTATATATGGAAAGAAAAGTTTCTCGAGCTTTCTATGAAATATACTAGGGCTGGCGCCACTACTATTGGTATACCCTAAGTATTTACTGCAGCTAAAAGATCTGGAACATTAAGTAATGCTCTGAAATTTTTGATAAACTGTCCCAGGTCGAAAAATCTGCCGTCAGACCGTAATTCGATATTATAAGATCTTGTAATCTGAATGAAATCTTAGAAGAATCTGATAAAAAATCGTCGTCTCTGCAATCTTACATCAGATCATACTATTGTTACGGTAAAGATCTAACGTTCACTGTATTTTCATTAAAAAACTTTTAGGAATATTTGAAATACATATTAGTTTAAATGAAATATTACAGTGACATTCTACTACATAACAGAACCTTCCAAGTATCCTTTGATACCACTTACTGTAAGAAATCAGAGACGGCGATCTTTCGTGAAATTTTCATTTGATCTTGTTAGATCAGATATGATCAGACGTAGTATTCTTATAAGATCTTATCATCTGATTTTTCGATCTGGGTGTATTTTGAATAACAACATGTCATCAACACCTAAGCAAGTTTCAATAAATTCATAATTTGGAAGAAAAAGAGTTTCATCAGATAAATTATTTAAACCGATGGACATCGCTCTTTGTGATATTTATTAAAAAATAGATGTATTTGAAAAGGAACGATAATAATTGATGACTTGGACGAAGATAGTGGTCGCACAGAGATGAAGTATTTTTCATCCCAGTGAAAAATAATCATTGAAAATAACGGTACAGAACACGTTCCAAAAAAAAAGTCAGCTTTTTTTAAGAAAAAACGGGCATTTATTTTTCTGGGACGCGTTCCCGATAATTATCATCCACATTCTCTGCCATCATCTTCAAAGAGAAGTAAGTACAAGATTCATCGAGAGACCTCTTCCTATGCAACTTAATGAGCTTTATCCAATGGCATGCTCAGATTTTTCATAGCTTAAACTATAGAAATTATGACATGAAATATTTTTTTTGAGAATTGAGTTTGTCATCTGGAAAGTACAACCTATCGAATGTTCTTCCATTTTTTATGTTAATTTTAATCTATCGTACTTCGGCACAGGTAGTTTTGAACCAAAACTGGCGATAAATTTCGATGAAAGTGCTCCACAATTTAGAGAACGGCGACGGATTCATTCTACTCTTACTAGGAATGATCACAGACTGTCGGAAATGCGTTCATCAGTTTAGAGAATTCATTCTCTAGATGTTCCTGACTTAAACGTCAAAGAATGCGATCGTATTTTGATGGAATGCTATCTGACCGTTCCAAAACAGAACGGTCGACGATGATTTTACTAGTTTATAGAATAGTTCAGAACGCTTTCTATACAGAAATAGAACAGTTGTGAACCAGAAAGAAAGTATTCTGTAATATTATAGAACGGCAAAGGATAGGTTCCTCTAAACTCAGAAAGATTCTTTTCATTGACGAATACATTCACTAAACTATGAAACGTCTTCCACAAATAAGAGACAAGTTTCCGCAATTTTATGAATGCGTTTACTTCCGTTATTTTCATGGTAATTTTTTCATTGGGATGACGTTCTTTTTTGGTACAATGAAGCAAATAATGATACCACGTTCTTTATTCTTATAGTTACAATGGAAAACAATAAAAGATGATCAACAAGATTCATCTTTCTGTAAATGAGAAGGACGTGAGATAGATGAGTTAGAACAATTCAGAATTGACGATGTAATACTTAAACAGTTCATTAATATGCATGTAATCAGAAGACAAGATACTGTGCAAATGTTTGCGTTATATACATAAGTTTGTTTCTTCTCAATGCAAGACAAAAAGGTTAAAGAATCTGCCCAGACAGACAAGACCTCTAAAAAACGCGTTTAAAATTCGTAAATACACCGTTCTTACGTATCAGAAACGTAAAAACGCCGTTTTCACGAATTCTTAACGCGTTTCTACGCAATTTTTTGCAAAGCGTTCTACTGCGTTAAAATCTACTCCGTGTTTACTCGTTGAAACGCGAAATTCAACGTGGTTTTACGCGTTATTTTGTGAGTTTTAACGCTTTAAGCATAGATTATCGATGCGTTAATCAGAGTAGACAAGCTAACGGAGATGAAAATCGTAGAAATGTGCGCTTTTCCCGATTTTTTTTCGTTGAAATTTCAAAATTTTTACGCTGTATTTCTCCGTTTCTTTTTGAGTTTTGTCTGTCTGGGTGGTGTCTATTATTATGACAAAAATTTACACTCAAATTGGAATTTGTTTGAACTTTAAAACCATATTTAAATGAACTATAATATATTCGTATTCCATATGAGTATTTTCATATTATTCATCCAATCAAATGTCAAAACTCAGAATTAGATATACTGCATAGCTTTGAATTTCCTCTAAATTGTAGCTGTCGATTTAATAATATGAAGTGCGTTTGTATTAATTCCAGACCATTCAAATACGTAGAAACTTGTTTTTATGAAGGCGTATACATTAGAGACAACTATGAAATGAACCTTAGCGTATATCAACTAGCATCGTTATAAAACCAGTCGAAAAATAATAAGAGACAAAACAATGTTGGCAATAATTGTAGGCCTCTTTTAGGATCCACCAGGATCCATCAGGATCCACTAGGATCCACCAGGATCTATCAGGATCCATCAGGATCTCTCAGGATCCATTAGGATCCAAAAAAATCAGAGGATCCGCTTTTCCCCCCCTGGTTGGACTCATACTGTTTGGGAAAGACAGATACAGAAGCAGTTTTGTTTATATTAATCGATTTTTCTATTGAGTTTTGTAATAACTGTTAAAATGATAATTAAGTGAGTTTAATATATGTAGATTATTTCTTTCTGATATTTCGATACCTTTATGTCATAGGATGAGGTAAAAGCTGCTTGATAATGATGCTATTAAACTATCTTCTTAGAGGTAGAAACACAGATGGATCGTGTTTCACATTTTTAATCCTGCCAGGGATTGCGCTAACAGCTTTTTCATTGAATGGTTACAATTGGCGCATAATGGTCCAATACTATTGATATTTTTAATATCAAAGGTCACAGAATAACCAACTAATGTCCCATCCGCCGTTGATTTGAAAATTAAATATTTGTTGTTTTGTTGAAATTATAGATTCAGATGAACGACGACAACTATGACGAGAGAAATAAGTTTCAATATTAAGAACTAGAGCACTATTTGAATCATTCAGCATTTCATTTCTTTCGATAAATACACATGATTTTCGAAAAGTTTTACATGCTGCAAGATCATTAGTTAAGATTGATGGCACATGAAAAGAACATCCGTTAATGACATGAATAAAATTCATCCTGTTCTTACGTTGTACACATTCAAAGAGTAAAATTCCTAAAGTGATAGAACAATCAGTTATAGTATTCTGAAAAATTTAAGAACATGAAACAAGTATCTTCTGTTCATTAGTGAAAGAATTTTCGGAGATATTGTTTTATATAATCACAGTGCTTCATACTTACGACTATTTGCATAAAGACATTTTAATAATTCACCATTACCAATTAATCGTTTATTAATGTTTGTTAATCAACTTTTTTTAGTTTAGTCACTAACCATAGCATCGTTCGCACCTGATCGAATTATGCTATTGAAACAAACTAAATCATAAGCATTAGAAGATCAGGCTTACCAAATCCAAATTTTAGAAATCAGGGATTTTGAAAAAAAAACAGGAGCTTATCAGGAGTAATTTTCTTCTAAATCAGGATAAAAATCAGGAGTTTTTTTCATATATATAGAAAAACATTAGATGGCTCTTACTGGATATAATTTTAACTTTCATTGAATATGCGTATAAATATGAAAACTTTTTAGTCTTTTGTCTCTAACTAATGACAAAAAGTTTCGTACGTGCATATATAGACTAAAAGAAGCCATAATTTCACAATGTTTATTTCGATATTTATTTTATCAATAGTCATTAGAAAAAAAAAATAACATAGAAACTCATAATTAAATCATCGATTAAAGAAATCAAATATATAAAGTAAAAATATATATAACATATCATTGACTAATAAATTCGTGGTACTTTTGCTATATGACTGTATTTATCTGACGATCGAATCTTTTTAAGTATATCGGGCTTAGTTAAAAGATAATCATAAAATTGTGTGCATGTCAAATGAGTATTCATTTTAATCTTTAATTCTGCTCCTACTAAATCATGTTTCATCTTATTTCTATAACTACTCCAAAGAAATTTCATATGACTAAAAACTGATTCGCAAAACGAATTCGACGCAGGTATGGCAAATACAAACTCAACTAATTTCGTAAATTAGGTACATGTTCATTATCAAGTAAAAAGGCCCATAAATGATCAGGTCGAATTGATTTATTTGTTTTCTTATGTTTGTAAACTTTAGCATCAGGTTCATCATCATTGGTGTCACTATCATCAAGATCACCTTGAAGATCACAATCACTACATAATTTTGCTCCATCTCCAACTGATGCACCATTATATTTTGATTGGCCCAAATTCGAAACAATAAATGATTGTACTTGTGTTGTAATTCCACCAGATCTTTGTTTTAAATCAAAATATTTTGATTTGATATGACTAAAGTCATTACATAAATCATCAAGATCAATTGTTTGATTGGCAACAAAAGTAGAGCATTGTTGAATGCTTCGCCAATCGATTTTTTCAATATCAACTTCAGCGAAAACAGAAATTGATTGAAAAAATGACTTATAATTATTGTAATATTTCTCAATATAATCGATTACTGAACGAATAAATACTTTAAATGATTTTTTTAAATCATCAACTTGTTTTATTGGATAATCCTCAAGCAATTGAGCAACTTTACAACCAAAAATTTCATTCTGTAAACGATTCTTTAATTTACGAAGTAAATTTGTAATAATGTCATGTATATTAACACCCGTTGTATATTCACGTTGTAATAATAAATTTGCATTTTGTACTTCTGGTAAAATATTTGTTAAAAAGAACAACGTACATTCACCTATAAAATACGATAAAAGTAAATAAATGTTATTTCAAATAGAAATAATTACTGTTATGTGATGTAAAAAATTCTAACAAAAGCGCCGGACATTCATCACTATGCAGATTTAAAAAATAACTTTTAACAATTGGATGAACACTAATGAGACGTTCAATAGATGATAGAAGACTTAACCATCTCAATTTAATATGTTTCAGTATAACCTAAAATGGAAACAGTGTTGACATTCATATAATATGCTGATATAGAATGTGGCTATTTACCTGCTGTTCTTTGTCAACAAATTCAAGATATTTTATTAATTCTTGTGAGCGAACAGATGATCTGCAAAAATGAGAATATATTTTCAACAATGCTGTTTCAATATCAAACAGCAAATGTTCATTTGCGTGCTTAACCGAATTGTGTAGCACGTGACAGTAACATGATCCTAAATTGAGAAAATATTTATAAAGTGACCAATAAAAATCTTGATATATTAAAATTTTTTACCTTTTATTACACCAGGTATAAGTTTTTCAAATAAAGCAAATACACTATGATGACAGCCAACATTAACATTAGTATTATCAGATCCAAGTGAAACTAATTGATTCAATTTTAATTCATTCGCTTCCAAAACGTATTTAATATTTGTAATTAGAGCATCAGCTGATTCATGCATTTGTTCAATAAATTCAAGAATACCATGTTTGACACCCGTTTTTGAAAAGAATTGCACTACAATTGGAACCATTTTAGCATTTCCTTTATTGGAAGCATCATAACAAATTGAGAAAGATGAAACGCTTTTTAATTCATTAATAATATAATCTGTAAGAGACAGAGATGGGATACTAAGTAAAATACTT